TAGTGGGAAGGATTTATATTCCTTGAAGACAGCTGGTCATTTGCATCCTTTTTCACTGGATGTATTCAAGGTTAGATTAGTTAACCATTTGTTGGCCAACCATCTGTTTAATCTGGATTTCTGAACTGAGCAGGCATTTGGTAGATTTGTCTAAATCTATTATTATAAGTGAGATGCATTACTATTCTAGGCTGTGTGAAAAAGACACTTTTATGTTCATAACTTGCTCAATTAGAGAGTTAATTTCTCTGTACTTCCCTCCAAATGATTCTGTTGCCAAAGAAAAGAAAGTATTGGGGCAAGTATTTTTTTAGTTCTGATCTCTCTCATAGTTCTTCTTCCATGAAAAGTTGAAGTTTCCAAGAAAACTTGCCTGGCATCTACTTCATAATCTGAAGGGGACAGGCAAGTTTACTCCCCAAAAACTACAGATGGATTTAGAATTCTGAATATTCGAAATGCTTTTCTCAAAGTTTGCATTCAGCCTATTAAAATGTTTAAGGTGTTTTTTTTTAGTTGCATCTTTTTATTGTATTTTATTGCTTTCGGAGGAATATGTAAACAAATAAAATAGCACGAAAAGGCTCTTCTATTTGACACTGAGCTTGAAATTAATTTTCAGTCCTTCCTAATGAATCATAGGAATGTGAACTTGCATATATTCCCAGAATTCAGGCCATTCGGGGGAAAAAAATGCTTCCTATCAGTTCTTGTTCAATTTAAAGAAAGAGAGTTTGCTTTTGAAATTTCTCTCAGTGGAGAAAAGATTGACAGTGAAAATTTCATGAAAGGGCTATCATGTTCTTGCATTTATATTGTTGCAAGATGGCCAACAGACCACCTTGTAACAATATAAATGTGCTATAGTTCATTGTGCTACAGTTTCCCCAGTGGACTGCCGGCTTCAAAGGCTTCAGAGAATTCCAAGGGAGGCACATAATTATATTGGAATGGAAGGCCTGCTGTGTGGCTGTTCTCTGGCTGGGAAGTGTACTCAACCAGGGAAGCTCCCGAGTGGTGGAAAGATGAGAAATGTGACATAACAAGATGTGCAGAAGCAGCTTCTGCCATTTCCAAAAGTATACGAAGCTTAGGAACCTTTGACAAAGACGTGGCTAAACAGTTCAAGTACAATTTATTTTGCAGTGGAAGAAACATCGAAGATTTTCTGTTACTTTCCACTAGTTTCTAATGGTTGAAACAGATTGATATTGATTCATTCATTCATTCATTGCCATCCGATTGATAACAACTCTTAGTGACCTTATGAATATTTCCAAGAGATTCATTCTCTGCTTGGTCTTTTAGGTCTTTCAAAGGTTCATTTCCTACTATAAAAATTGAGTCTGTCTATCTTACTGGTAGTCATTCCCTTCTTTTTCTCCCAAAGGAACTTCTCAAAGGAACTAGGGGTTTGCATAATGTGTTCAAAATGTGATAGTCTGACTTTGGTCATTTGTACTTCAAGTAAAGACTCTGAATTGATTGTTCTATCATCCACTTATTTGTTTTCCTAGCTATCCATGGTATCCTCAAATGTCTTAAATAACATCACAGTTCAAAAACTAATAGCAATAGCAATAGCACTTATATACTGCTTTATAGTGCTTTACAGCCCTCTCAAAGTGGTTTACAGAGTCAGCATACTGCCCCCAACAATCTGGGTCCTCATGTTACCCACCTCAGAAGGATGGAAGGCTAAGTCAACCTTGAGCCTGGTGGGATTCGATCTGCCAAATTGCAGTAGGAGTAGCTTGCAGTACTGCACTCTAACCACTACGCCACCGAGGCTCCTTATGTTCTTTATATCTTCTTCAAAGTCCAACAATCGCATCCATCAGGTGTCATGAAGAAAAAAAAATTTTTTTTTGAACAATTCTAATGTTTATATCATTACAAGTTTTTATAGCCAGTGTCAATCCAATAGTAATGAGTTTCTGAGTTAATACTGTAATTACCCATGGTCTAATTCTTTGGTATCCCGAAGTTTTACCAGCAATTGATAAAATACATACATACATACATACATACAGTTGGCATTTTCAGAGGTGAATGTGATCTCTCTGTAGTATGATATATACATTGGCATTATAATTCTAATCTTTGTAAGCATGGATGCATCTCAGCATCTGAATATCCCTTTCTAAGGCCTTCATTGATACTCCATCAAATGCTAATCTGTGGTGTATTTCTGGATTACTGGATCATTCATTTTAACAATCAATCACAAAAGGCAGAATGCTATCTTGAAAGTTAGAGACCTGGCCAAGAGTCAGACATGACTGAATGGATAACATCATCATCTTGAAAATTAGAGTCAATATACAGTACCCCTCTATTTGTGAATGAACTCCTCTTAGCTTAGCAGCACAGACTTTAGGCAGCTTGGAGAGGTCACACTTTTTTTTATACAGCGTGAAAGACACAAATGCAAAATATGGAAGGAAGCATCACTTATAAAGGTGAAAGAGGACTTTTCCCTATGTTTTTTTTTTCATTCACTGGGGAGAGGATGTGGGTGGAGTTTGTGGAGAAAGCCAGCACAACAATGTTTGTGTATTTCTTGCCTCAGAATGTTGGAAACAGCACCAATTACTTTTTGGCAATCATACTGAAAAAAGGCTCAAAGAAGCACACAAGAGAAACAAAAGGGAGTTGGAGTGCGCATAATTTGAGGTATAACTCCCTATCTTCCAACAGGCAAGATGGTCAGGACTGACCTCATAATTGATGGGAAGTTAAAACATCACTATGATGTTTGCCATACTTCTTTGGGTGGGAGTGAGGGACAATCAGACTGTATTTCAATTCCCCTCCGCAACCCAGCCCTGGACTGTTGCTGTCTGATAGCCTGATGGGAAATCTCATCTTGCTGCACCTTGAGCCGAGGTAAGAAAGAGGGCCATTCTAGTTTTCATTAATGGCTGTTTCCACCTTGAGCAGGAAAGGAATACAAAGTCATAACTGGACAGACTGTGCGAATCAGTTCTAAGGTACACACACAAATAACATCTTTCCAACCAGTAACAAGAATGCACCAGCTACAGAACACTGTTGTGTGTCTCTACTATAAACAAATAGTTCGTAAATCATTCCTGCTCCAAGTTTAAAGAATAAAAAAGCACCGCCCTCAGTAAAAAGCTTGACTTGCCAGCCTTTAATTGACAGAATCCATTAATAATGTTTTCCAGCCGCTTCTCGTTCAGCACTCAACCCTCTTTTTAAAAGTCCTGTCATGTTAAAAATTGACATGTGTTGACTTTGGCCTGCAAGAGCCCTAGTGCTGGTTGTAGGTAGGAACTTTGGGTGTTTAGTCTGGCTTGCATTTTATTTTTCCCTTTCATCAAATTAGTTCAGCTGTAGGTATTTTTAAAAGAGAGACAGAAGAGAAAAGAAAAACTGCTTTACAATCCAAGACTCTGGTTTAGAGTTGCATGGTCCCCTCCCACACCATTTCCCCCTCCCCAGCTCAACCAAAAATAACTGACAAATGTGACATCATCTACATCGAACACATGGATGGGAAACTGGAAGAAAGAGAAGCAGAAATTTAAAAGGGCTGCATGTTATTATTGTTGTTGTTGTTGTTGTTGTTGTTATTGTTATTATTATGTTTGCAAAGAGCTCTTTGCAAAAATAATAATACAGGTAGCCCCTGACCCAAAACCATTTGTTTAGGGATGGTTCAAAGATATGACACTGAAAAAAGTGGCTTGTGATCATTTTTCACACTTATGACAACAGCTTGCAACAGCTCTGTGATCATGGGATCAAAATCCAGACACTTGGTCACTGGCACGCAGTGTCCCAGGATCACGTGGTCAGCGTTTGTGACCTTCTGACAAGCAAAGTCAATGGGGAAGCTTAATAATTGCTGTGATTCACTTAACAACTGGGGCAAGAAAGGTGGTAAAATGGGGCCAACTCACATAACAAGGTTCGGTTATGGTCGTAAGTCGAGGATTACCTGTAATTTGCCTAGGTACAATTTTACTATTGGCTTCTAAAAAAGTTTCTAACTCCAACCCAACTGAAAGCACAACATTTCCAATTGCTATGGAGGTTTTAGGAGAGGCAGAATTTAAAGCCAAACTCTCCTCTTCCATTTTTTTTTTTTTTTTGCCTTCAATGAACTTTGTTCATCTTATTTTGTGTATCACTCTCTGCTCATCCATACAAGTAATTCATCAGAGAATCAGAAGTGGGATTCACAAAAGGACCACTGAATGCTTGTTCCAGGAGAGATGGAGAACAGTATGAGTGGAGGGGAAGGTCCCTTAGCTTTATAGCACCCAATAATATCATCAGACACAGGATAGATTTTCTTCCCATAAATGTTTTTCCCCCCAGGCAACAAACAGATCTGAGATTTATATTATCAGAGGTATCAGTTAAGACAGATGGAAGGGGAATACAGGTATTGGGGGAAAGATGTCTCCTTTTCATTTCCTGCCAATTTTAAACTGAGGAAAATGTATCACAGGACTCATAATAGACTGAAATTAGGATACCGAGGCTTAATATCTAAGCACAAGGCAATAAAAGTATGATCATAAAAGCATTTTAATATGATTTGGTTAATTGGATTACATTATGTAACTGTAAACCTTTTAGAAGATTATTCAATGAGAGTTATACTTTTAAGATCTCATGGGATTCAGAAGGGAAAACTACAGTAAGTCATAAGCTTAACTATCCAAATTAAATTAATATAACCTAAAAGGGCTTAACTTTGGGCACTTCCACTGTTTTCCTTCCCTCATTCCTCCAAAGCAGGGCAGAGTCTTTGTGTCTATCTTTTCAGCTGCTGGCCTGAGATTCTGAGCATTGGCAGCAAATACCTGATGCAGGGGTGAGATTCAATTTTTTTAACAACCGGTTCTGTGGGCGTGGCTTAGTTGGTGGGTGTGGCTTGCTGGTCATGTGACTGGGTGGGTGTGGCCAACTTGACATCATTCACATCAAGGGGCACTTCTCTTCGCCTGGCCTCTCATGACAGTGGGGATGCTGCAACGGTCGTAAGTGTGAAAAATGGTCATAAGTCACTTTTTTCAGTGCCATTGTAACTTTGAATGGTCACCAGTTTTAGACCAAAACTCAAAAAGGGTATGTAAACTCACGTTCAAATGTCAATCTTTCTAGCTAGCCAAGAAGCCTCGCTGAATGTCACTCATCTTGGTTCCTTGTCATTAAAAGCTTCTTTCTGGCAGCTCTGCTTCATTATTCAATTATTTCTTCAAAGTGCTAACTCCAACAGGGGAGTATTTCCTCCCAACAGCAGTGTAAAAAGCTTAAAACAACTCTTCCCCTTTAAGAAAGTACCAGCAAAGGAAAAAAACCCTTTGGAAACAGTAAGTCTAGGCATATTGCCAAGAATGCAAGAATAGTGGAAAAAAACAAAAGGAGATTTCTTCCAACAACAGGTTCTCCGAACTGCTTAGAAAGTTAACAACCAGTTCTAGTGAATAGGTGAGTACCTGTAGAATCCCACCCCTGACCTGATGCCATCCTTGCTCCCTCCAGGGACCAATAGGAAAGCATCATTAGTTGATGCCGTCGGTCTTCGATCATCTGCAAAAAGAATCTAAAAAGTTGCTATGAAGGAAAGTTTTCCAGGTGGAAAGGTACCTTTTCTCCTGCATTTTAGGCCTCTTGCACGGTTATGATAGTGTCGGTGTGTCAAACTCAATTTCATTGAGGGCCGCAATAGGGCTGTGGTTGACCTCGGAGGGGGGGGCTGGGCGGGCGTGGTGGACTGAATGGGTGTGGGCAACTGGGTGGGCGCGGCCAGCTTGTTTCCTCTCACTGGGTGTGGCCGGCTGGGTGGCATGGCCAGCTTGACACCACTCCCCAAACTGCTGGCATGTTTCCTCTTCGCATTGGGTAGACAGGGCCAAAGCAACGTGGACCGGCCCCTCACATTTTACCAGGAAGACCCCTCAGGCCTGATGCGGCCCACAGGCCTTGTGTTTGACACCCTTGTGATCGTGAAATGGTGAATTGCTTTTATCAGCTAGGAACTTTGGAAGCTCTGATCCTCATGATGCACGATGCTATGGTGACTGGAATAGGAGATGAGAGAGTCACTCTAAATAAAGCCTACAGTCTGTAGGCTTTAGACTGTGGCCTGTGGCCTACAGTCAGGCCACAGGACCTGCAGGCTAAAGGTTGGGGTGGGAAGAAAAGCTGTGGTTCCCTTCTAGCTAGGATCCAAGAAACAGGGTGTTGTAAGAATCTCTGCCAATGACACAAGCTCAGCAGTGCCAAAGCATTGTATTAGCATCGCTCCAGTTTCCAATCAAAAACAGCCGAGGCCAGGAAAAAGACAATCACAATTTTCAAAATGAACCTAAGTCATGTGATTACATAGAGCTGGAACTGATACTGAACCAGCACACACAGCCCTTCCTCGTATGGAGGCACCTTTTGATTAATGTTCATTCTTGGAAGGCAGAGAGGAAAATTATCTTTGCTTTGTAATCAGCAATTAAAGAATTGTTATTCATTGCAATTCATATCCATTCATCTTTGACAAGTGTTAAACCACTGACCCCCCACAATCCTTCTAGTGACTTAAACAACTGCTTCTAGCACCCTATTTTTGCATGGGTTGGTCTTTTCATACATGGGTGGGATTTGTATTATTTGTATAATATCGATATCAAACAAAGGTAGATTTGTTTTAACACTTTAGCACTATTCAAAATATACAAGTGGATCAATGGGAAAATGAGGTTGAAGGATTGCAATTTGTATTATATTCTAGGCCTAAAGAGAATGTTTATAAAATGATGCGCTGTTGGTATTTGTCTACAATGCATAAAGATATCTAAAATTTACAGTGTTATGGTTGCCTTAAATTTATAATTAAATAATGTAGAAAGGTACCTTAAATTTATGTTGGAAATATGAACACTATGAAAGGACATTTTATCACGTCTGGTAGATGTGTAAAAAAATCCCCACAAAATTGGATGCAAGTACATAAAGTAGTCCTCACTTGACAATAATGTGTTTAGTGAATGTTTGAAATTACAAGAGCACTGAAAAAAGTGACTTACCATTGGTTGTGGCACTTATGACCATCACAGCACCCTTACAGTTAAATAATTGGGATTCAGATGCTTGGCAACCATCATAGCCTTTATGTCTGTGGAGATTTTCAGTCATCCAGGTCATGGTTGTCGAAAAAGTGCTTTCTTTCAAGAGGCAACTGGACTTTCTGGGGTTTGTTTAAAAGACATTTTGCTTCTCATCTAAGAAGCTTCTTCAGCTCTGTTTCCAGTTAGAGCTGGAGAAGCTTCTTGGATGAGAAGCGAAACCTCTTCAAAGAAAAAAACAGAAACTCCAGTTGCCTCTTGAAAAAAAGCACCTTTGGGGCCACCATGACCTTTATGATGCTTGCAGCTCCCTGAGGTCCACTTATCACTAATTGCAAAGTTCTCAGCTGTCTTCTGAAAAGCAAAGCCAATGGGAAAAGTTGAAAGTTGCAGTCATGTGATAACCAGGACATAAAAGATCATAAAATCAGGTGCAGTTATGGGATGCCTCACTTAATGACTACACTGCTTAACCGCAAATGTTCTGGTCTCTATGGTGGTCCAAAGTTGAGGACTTTCTGTACACTGATTCAGAAGTTTTTGAAGGCTAATATACAATTGAAGTCAGAGGCTTTTCTATGAGGGACTATTGGACAAATGTCTAGAAAAAAGACATGAAACTTTGTTTTTATATATGACCATTGCAGTAAGATTATTATATGAAAAATGGAAAGCCTCAGTGCTACCCACAACAGAGGAATGGTTGGTGAATATAATAGAATTTGCAGAGATAGCTAAATTGACATCCGTAATTAAAGACAATATCCACATCTTTGGCCGACTAGAAACCTCTTATAGACTTTTTGCACGAACCAGAAAATATTGCACTTGTGAGTTTTGGTTTTGATGATTAGGGAAAAAAATGGGTAATAGAAAAAAATGAGCTTTTTTTTTGGTAACCATAGAGTAAGAGATAACCTTGTAATTATATTTGCTGCAAAGGAAATCAGAAGCTTCTTTCAATTTCTTTCTATTTTTTTTCTTTTTTTTGGACTTGTGTTGGGAGAAAGAAGAAACTGAACTAGCTGAAGATAAATTTAAGTTGTCTCTGAAAACAAGATGAAAGTGAGATCATGATCCACAAGTGGCATCACCCCACAAACAGTGGGGCAATTTTGCCCCAATGATAGCAGGAAATCTGAGGGAGCCCTGAGATCTCCGTCTCATTCTCCTAAACAAAGACCTTGAAAAATCAAGTTTCTTTTGACTGCTCCTCAGTTACGGAAGGCAAGAAGTCAGTCCTGAGACAGAACCATGTTTATTTAGCTAGAGTTAATTTAATTGAGAAGCTTATATCCCATTTCCCCCCACAATAAGAAATGCAACCCTCGGTTAACTGTGTCTGAATTAGACGAAACATGCCACAAAGACTAGATTATTTCAGTGCCACTCTGAGCAATTTAGTGGTCTGGAAGCTGTGAGGAGTACATGCAAGGATTTAGAACACATATATAGTATATATACACAGACACAAGGTCTGTTCTTTCCATATAAATCTGAGAGGACTGCATAGCAATGGTTGTTGGGAGGATACAGGTTATTCTTTCATTGCCAAATGGAGTGGTGTTCCTGGAACTTCAGGAAATTAATAACGTGCTCATACTATCATCAGTCTGCTTCTTCCTAATTGAATTTTTCTCCCCCTTGTTCGCATAAGAGAGATTCCATCTGAATTGGAAAAAACAATGGAAAACTCAAACGTGTGAGTGACCCTGGACAGGGGGGCTGGTGACCCTTTTTACCCCAGGAGAGCCAGAATAGCTGGATTGAACCATTGGCTTCTGAGGTAGTCCAAAAATCAGGACAAGACAACCCCCTCAAAACGCCGAGGGCATAGAAGAGCTGAAAACAAAAAGGCTGTTTAAAAGATCCAAATACCACATTTTGGGAGCACCAGTAATTCCTGAGGGTTAAAAATGAGGATGTGATACCACAGCACTGAACTGCAGTCATTGCAGGGGATAATGTAACCAATTTGGTTGCTAACAGGACACGTGTGTCCAATGTTAAACTAAAAACATAAAGCATCACAATTTCTTAGGAATAAAATCTCCTACGACAGAGGCAATTATTCTAAAATCAACATGCATGGACAAATAGCAAACTTCTTTGAGGGGCTTTTCTTGGAGACACCAGAGTCCATCCATTTGTGAGCACAATACCATTTCTGTTTCCAGGATAATCATGGGCAAACCAATTTTTTTAAATGCTCTTAAAGGAAGTACTTCTTCCTACTGGAAACTTTTCTTCCTACTGGAAACATTTCTTGAGAAGCAGTAGAAAACTAACGTGTGCTTCCATTTGAATGTACCTGTTACAGGATCATTTTGGACAACATCCAGCTGTTCTTACCCAAACCTTGTTCCAAGGAAACAAACAGGTAACAGAGGTAACAGCAAAACCTTTTAATGATTCTTTACGAATTCCGTTCCTTCACGGTTAAAAGGCTGTTTCAAACTAATTGTCTCTGATAAGAACGAGCCTTGCCAAGGTTGTGCAAGGCTGCCAAGAACACTAGATAAAGTTACTAAGAAATATTTCAAACCCAAAGAGTCTCCAAACACCAACCAAGATATTCCAAACGTCCACAAGGCTTCAGTGCAAAAACTTCTTTGCTTCCTGCAAAAAATTCTGGTTTCTCAGCTGGCTTTTATTTCTTAAGGGAGGGGCCATTACCTTGTAGCCTTAGTCCCAAGTCACCCGTGCTGCTGCAGCTGCTCTTTCCTTCGAGCAGCCCTGTGTGCATGCTCACTGGGCACAGACTCCTCGGGAACTTCTTCATCACTGCTGCCAGCCTCCACAATCTCCGAAGGCAGCATTCCACTCCCTGATGGTCCTGGCCCCATCCCTGCATCACACACAAACCCCTCATCTGACTCCTCGCTCTCTGAGACCTCAGCTGTCCACACCTGCTGCCGGCGAACCACAACACCATGCTATTATGAATGACACCATGTACCCAATTTTGTCCTCACCCATACAGAGGGAATAAGCTTTTTTACTTGCCCTAAATGTATAGCCCCGGGATGACTATTCTGTATGCAATATTATAATTGCATCCTCCAAGGAAACTTCTTCTTTATCCTTCACATCTTCTTTTATCATCTTCTTTATCTTTCTCATCTGCTTCACTACCTTCTCTATTGGTATCATTATTATGATTATTATCCTTTGTTATTATGATTATTAATACTTTGTTGTTTTGCATGTACACTGAGAGCTTATACACCAGAGACAAATTATTTGTGTGCCTAATCACATTTGGCCAATAAAGTATCCCATCCCATCCCATCCCATTCTATTCTATTCTATTCATCTCTCTTTATAATGCAATATTTGTAAAATCACAGTCAAGCACATAAAAATGTACAGACTGAAAAAATAAATTCAAAAAATTAACTTTGTCCTAAAGCATGCTTGGTGTTACCTGCCTCCCTTAAAAATTAGGAAAGCCCTTTAGCTTATATAGCAGAGACATTCAATAAACAGGGTTCTTACTCAGAAACACTCAAAGGTTATAATTGCTTCCAGATTATTACCTGCAGGTATCGGTAGAAGAGGATGAGAAAAAAGAATCATGGTCCCTACAAAGAATATTCACAGAGGGACTAGAAAAGCAAAGATAGAAATATCACCTGTGCACCCAGGATCCTACTACTTCTTTTACCTACCTACCTACCCCCCCCCTCTCTCTCTCCTCCCCCCCACAGTCCCCACTTTAACTTTTATAAAAAATAGTTTATTCACTAAATCATTAAAAAAAAACAGAACAACTACATAAAAGAAATAAACAACATATGAAACACATAGTGATCAAAGAAAAAAAAATGAACAAAGTTTGCAATTAGAATAATATTTAAAATTAATTAAATAGCTAGTTAATTATACTCATTATGTCATCTTAAGAAATAACTGGAAATGTCTATAAAACTCTAGATGCCATATTAATATGGATGTGACCACTATTTATAATTGTTAATAAATAAATAAAAATGAAAAAGAGAAAAATCAATACAAACCATATTAAGAAGCTATGTAGTTTTGAATTCCCCCCATTCTTCCCAACTGACTTATCGACATATTTATGAACATTGAAATTATTTCTAGTTGCTTTTTTAAAAAAATAATTTTTCCCTAAAAATCATATTCTACACTAAGTATTTGCTTTGCTGACATATGAAATAAAGAGGATCCATTCTTGCTTAAATTCAGTCCAACTTCGGTTCTGGATGTGTATTGTTAATTTTGCCATTGCAACGTATTTCCCAATGTTGTGTTCCCCTTCTGACAGTGTGGACAAGGGTCTCTTTTTTAATGTTTAATTTGTCTTCATGGCCAATTTATTTCTTCTTCCATCTTTGACTTATTTTGACCTCTACACCCACTTCCTGATAGATGTCTCCATTCCTACTAGGCAAAGAGTCAGGCCATGTCAGAAAAGGAGGTCTTTTGTTTCTTTTGAAGAAAATAAAAAATTATGCAGGGAATATGCTAGCACCTTTTCTGACTATTATGTATTTCTGCTACCAGATTCCAGATTTTTTTGACACCCTAGATCAGCAAAGCTGGCTGGGGAATTCTGGGAGTTGAAGTCCTCCAGGCTTAAAGTTGCTAAGGTTGGAGGCCCCTGCCCTAGACTAACTCAACTCTTCTCCAACAATAAAGAGTTTCTAGGCTTCTTTTTGGAAAGTCATAGAAATGAGTAGAAAATCAAGCCATTCCTGACTGTTTCACTAGCTAGCTGTATTTCTCACAAAGGGTTCTGCTGCTCTTTTCCACATTTACTGGAACTCATTCCTTCCTCACCTGTAGAGCTGATTAGCAGTGAAATATGACTGTGTACCTATGATGGCCCTCCAGCAGAACACCCAACCATTTCTCAGATCTCTAGTATATTGGCTTTGAAAACATGTTCATGTTTTCAAAGTTTTCTCCTGGACTTCCTCATGGTTTCCTCCAAAGTATCTGGGTACATCATCCTGCTGATGTTGTATGGCAGCATTGGTTGCAAAATATATCCGGCATGGCAGTTGGCAGCTGTGTTGTGCAATTTTCATTAACTTACGGAAACCACTGTGAGAGTGGAGAGAGAGAGACAGGGCAAGTCATTTTGAGCCCCATCCATCCATCACTCCAACTGTAGTCATGTGTCCTGCTGTGAGCTAACAAATGATACATACAAACAATACAAGAGTTGTGTCCTCCAAAGGCTTCCCTCCCAAATGAGTGTCCTTCAGGATGCTTCAGTGAGATCTTTCATGAACAGCCTATTGAGTTCCCATTTACATGGATCATTTGCCAATCTTTTTCTTCTTTTTCCCCCTTTTCTTTTTGCCTTTGATCATTTTTATTACTTCCTTATTCTTTTTTATTCCTCTATTCAAATGTTGGCTGACTTATTTTTAAATGGCCATGTAAAATTATTTTAAACGGGAAAGAAGCATGAATTCTAGACTTCAGGCTGTTAAGGAAGAGGTTTAAATAGAATGGCATTTGTGTTCCTTGGCTGCGTAATTTTTGTTGAGGCCCTGAAGAATTCTTTGGGAGACAAACATTTGTTTGCATAATAAAGCATAGAACTTCCTGCACAGCTACTCACATAGAATCTATCTTTCGTTTGAGAATGAAAAACGAGACTAAGGTCTAATGTGAGATCCTTGGCACTCTACGCCATCATATTGAATAGAAAAGAGTTGTATCTTAATGGTAGCTCAGCAGTTTTTCATTCAGAATTCCCAGGTGTCATCTCTGCCATCTCCCTCAGGGACCGAGACCTCTGCCTGAGTTTTTGGAGATCAACTATCTACCAACATAAACAACATGGAGATAGGTGGATCAATGATCTGACTCAATATAAGGGAGCTTTGTAGGATCCCTCATTGGCTGTGATTCTAAGATTGGTAGACCCGTTGAAGGACAAGGCATTAATTCATTAATTAATTCATTAATTTTATTGGTCAAATTTAGGTACCACCCATCTCATTCTTAGTGTTAATCCTATCGCTGTTGTTGGATTGATCAGTCAGCTAAACAGAATATATATGAGCACAGCAATTATTCTGGTGCAAAGGTGAATTTTAGTTTTAGAGAATTCCCTGCTTTCTTAACAGTTATTTCCTGTTTGAGAAGAGGAGAAATGTCATGTAGCTGATATCTTTTTCAGGTCTGTTATTAAGCACAACTATGTTTTACACACATGCAGAGGGTGAACGCAGAATGAGGTCCAACGCTTTGTGACACCTTTCCTTCCTTCAACCTGTCCCACCTTCCTCCTCATCCAATCTGGCATATGAACTAAAATGGGAGGAAGCCCTTCATGGTTCTACCCTATCCAAGTAATAAAAACAGTAGAAAATGTTGTCACGTGAAAACCACCCTCAGTAAAAACAACAGAAGAACCATAACACAGTCATATGAGAATCACATGGCTGGCAGAAGCCCAGCTGTCTTTCCCAGGTAACATCCTCCTTCTGTGTCACACAGGACTACTGCTGTATGAAGAGGCCATTATATCTTTTATCTTAAGAATCAGTCTAGCCAGTCTTTCACTAAGCACATGTTTATATAGAGGGATTTCCTGAAGAACTCTAAGCCCGTGTATATAAAGGATCTGCATAATGCCCCATCAGACATTTCAAGAGGCAAATATACACATGGGAGACAGATGTCCACTTTCTCCAGCAGCCCAAATTGCCACAGAGAGCAGGAGGGTAGGGACCAGAGAGGAGGATGATTATATTTACAGCAGTCTATATGCATAAAACAGCCTGTGGGAGTTTGGCACATCCCAGCTCTTGACTGTGTCATCACCAGCATCATCAATTCAGGCAGCAAGAACTGTAATAGAAGATCAAAGGAAACACTGTTTTAACATCAATGCAGCTAAATACAAATTTTAACTGCTTCCCTAGTGGGCTCAGGGTGAAATCAAAGCAATCTTATAAGCATATATCCTCTTAAAAACAGATGCAACAGATGCAAGAAATGCATCTCCATGGCATGGTTAACAAGACGGGACGATTAGTAATGTAACTTCTGTATTTTAGAGAACTATCATTTTGATTTGTGGTTTAGCATCTAGTATAAATCCTTTGATTTGTTCAGTAAACTTTGGCTGAATAAATCAGAGCATAGCAGTAATTGTTGGCTTTCAATTCATGTGCTGGTAGGAATTCTAGAAATTGTCATTTAATTATTACTTGTTCAATGACTGTTCAAAGTTACAATAATAGCACTACTGTAGCCCTTAGACTTTTATTCTGCTTCACAGTGTTTTTACAGCCCTCTCTAAGCGGTTTACACAGTCAGCCTATTGCCCCCAACAATCTGGGTCCTCATTTTACCCACCTTGGAAGGATGGAAGGCTGAGTCAACCTTGAGCTTGGTGGGATTCGATCTGTCAAATTGCAGGCAGCTGGCAGGCAGCAGAAGTAGCCTACAGTACTGCATTCTAACCACTGGGGCATAAAGCTAAATGAGCAGACTTATGACTGGTTCTCATGGTTGCAGTCATCCCAGAATCCCTGCAGTGACATGATCATGACCTGGGCACTTGACAATCAGTTTGCCATCATGACAGTCACAATGTCCCTCCTTGCTGGCTTCACTGCCGATTTCTGATAAGCAAAGTTAATGGGGAAACCGGCAGGAGGTGATCACAAGATATCACGCCTAAAAACTGATATCTTGTCAGTATGCTTACATGACTCTGTGCTTTACAACCATGTTGCTTAGCAATGGAGTTGCTGGTCCCAATTACCATTGTTAAGTGAGGACTGTACAACTGAAAGATTTCAATTTCTAGATGAGTGACCTACAGAAGTAAGCTTTAGTTAGACAAGTTTTTAAAATGCCTCACTGAATACTTTCTTATATGGACTACATAATCAATGTGTCCCTCAAGCCCTCAAGCCCATGAAACCATCAATTGTAGTTGAGAATTGACAAAATTGACCCCTGAAATATTATTGTGTGCAGAGTGTAATTGGATGCAGTGCCATAAAACAACCAACTAGCCACTAGTATAGACATCCTTTTAAGAAGTACTCTAAGCTAGTGGCCATGCATAGTAAAATCATAAATTGATATGGAGGATGGTATGCTGATGACTAGCTACTAACCATGGCAGCTAAATGGATGCTTCATATCCTAAAGTAGAGAGAGTCTAAACAGAGTGCCCCACGGGCATCTGACTTGCCACTATTTAAACAGGATTCTGGATTAGATAGATGCTCTGTTTAGTCCCATTTGGCTTACTTGGTTTTAGTCACTTATTCTATTCATGTTCAACTTTTCTATTTAACTGAAGCAAGTAATGCACGCTAAACAGCAGAAGATAGAATAAAAAGTTCACATCATAAATAAGAATGGTTACTAATGGGGCAAAAAAGATGACTACTTTTCTAAATGTGATGGGGGAGGTGTTTTCCTGTGTGACAGATAAATAGGTCTGTGACCAGGGAAGCATCTTTAGAAAGGCTTCTTCCACAAATCCTAATTACTGGAAAAGTTTATAGGAGATGAAATGGTTCTTAAGTTACTGGTATTTTACCAATCAAATCTTAAGTTGGAGTGGAGAGATTGTAAAATTGAAATCACCCTTGGGATTACACCCTTCTTATTCCACATCCCAATTTGCCATTCTGAATGTTTTGATATCTCCTAGTTCATGAAATGGAAGCAACAATATGTAAGTGATCAGTTGATTAGCTCTCATAGCATACCAAAATTTGCCAAAATTGACCAATATCATCCTTATTGTTAGTGACAATGTTGCAGATGGCATTGGTGAAACCATAATAAATAAATAAATAAAAGCAAGAGAAAGGGGAAGGATGTAATAGATTTGAAATAAAATGATTTGATTTTTTGTGAATATATTCAGGGAAGTGAAAGTGTAAGTTTAATTATGAATAAAAGCTAAAAGGTATGTCAGAATTTATGAATTAGTGACATACAGATTGTTTTGTGCAAATATGAAAATAAGAATTCATGAGTCAATTGGTGACAGTTGCATGCTATTCTCCAGTGAAAGGCTTTTTGGAGAAAAATAGATATGAAAAAGTAAGCCTTTTAAAATACGTAAATAGATGGAAAATAGCATGAGTGTAGGAAGAGAAAGTATCAGTTTCTTTTGAAATATATCAAAAGATAGATTAATGTCCCAACAGGATGAATAGAAAGTAGGTAAAATGAAAAAATGACATGGATGCTGTTTGGGATAGAGTGGAAAGGAAAATGTTACCAAATACCAAAGAAATTTGTGCAGTTACATTAATGGGAATATAAAAAAAATATGTTTGATGAAAAGACAGAGTGAAAGAAGCTATGGATGAGAAACAAATGAAAGAAAAAATGCTGACTGATTTTGAGGGAAATGAAAAAAGAATACTGTGGAGTGGTGCAAAGGCTAAACAAGTAGCCACTAAAAGGACAGTAAGTTTAAGAATAAAAATTATGAAATAATTTGGGATGAATTTGAGTAGAGAGTAGAGTAGAGAGTAGAGAGCACACTAGAGCATCTCTGAAGTTGCCAGTGTTATGTTCCTGTTAAGATACTCCAAAATGATATTTATATTTATAGCAGGTTTGTATTTTTAACAGGTTTATGTTTAACTTTAACTTGTGATTTATGCTGAACTTGCGGTCAGTCCAGATCCATTTCATGTGGAATGCTGCCTATCAATCTCCCCTACCTTAATTTATGGCTTTCATTTCTTTTTACCCACATGCAGAACTTTACATTTCTCCCTGTTAAAGCTCATCTTAGTCATTTCAGCTTATTGCTGAAGTTGTTCTCTCAGTCCTTCATCCAAGTGATTGATAAGCATGCTAAGCAGCAAAGGAGAACTCTGTTGGTTATTAATAATAACCTTTAAAGAGAAATAGAGCCATTATCAAGAACTCTTTTGGTTTGAACATTTAGCCAACATCCAACCCACGTTTTATCCTTTTATTAAGAGAGTATCACCAGTGGCTTTGTTGAAGACCTTGCCGAGATGTGCTAGGTCTATAGTATCCCCTGAGATAGAAGCTTTATCAGAGACAGGAGTAGTTACTTTGAGACAATCTGTTTGTTACTAACTCATGCTTCTCCCAGTGGCATCATTAAGATCAGAAGAAAGCCCTTTTTGTTGCTGTGGTATCTGGTGCAAGCCTCGGCTTATTCTGAGCTTTGGACTCTCTGAAACAGTTCATACCCTTCCTGGAAATTATTCTTCCTTGACTATGGTCCTTACTTCCACTTCCTGTATGTGTTTCGTTTTCCTTCTCTATTTTAGTGTGCATTCATTCCAACTTCTTTCAATCTCTCCTATTTTTCCTTCTCGTAGGAATTGTTTGTGATTGCACCTTCGGCATTCTATTCCGTAGGCTTGTCCATCATTCCTGGCTTCTTTTCTTCTCTAGGGTTTGAAGCCATTGTATTCCACAAACTTTCTTTTGGAGTTGCAAAATCCAGTGTGGAAGTCTGATTCTTCTCCGTTCCTCTTGTCAAATTCCTGTTCCTCTTTCACTTGTTCATTGAATTTGCTCCCTGGAAACTCAATCTGCACATGTCTCCTGAAGTTATTCAACTAAGTCAGCAAGAACAGTACACCAGTCAGACACAATGGCCGATCATCAGAATTTAAGATACCCTCAGCAGCAGTTAGCAGGAGTATCCAGCCTCAGACTCCTTGGATTTTCTTTTCTCCTCCTCCTCCTCCTCCTCTTCCTCCTCCTCCTCCTCCTCTTCTTCAATTTTTCTTTGCTCTCCCTGTTCAGTTGCTCGAGACAAAAATGATGAGAAGGAATTCATCCTGCTGTGAGAACACTGCTAAATGTTGAGGTTGCAGGTGAAGATGGTGCATCTGCAGGAGGGTTAAAATTTGAAACTGGATAGAGTTTATGAAGAGGAGTTTATTTAATATGCGTGTGAAGATTGCATTAGTATCTGATGGTTGGAAGAAAGCCATTATTGTTCCTTCACCCAAAAGGAAAAACAACAAGAGTAAATGCAAAAGTACAGGAGGCTAATTTGTTATGAATGTGTGGGAAGATATTGGTAAGAATTCTAAAAAGGATATGAGAAATCACAATGAAGAATGGTTTTCAAGAG